TGTTTTGTAGATTAAATGGTGGATGTCTAATACACAATAGTATCATTATTTATGAAGGATAAATATGCTTTATATGGATCTGAGCGGGGCCACAGTCTTGTTTAATCAGTGTTATAATTTAATCTAATCACCGTGACACACAGAAAAAGTTTTGAAGCTCAGTTTCAAAGCTGCTTCAGATACAAGTTTACTTTGAAGTACTCTGAACTTCCCAACAAATAGCCTCCACAGTAGAACACATTCCTTCAAGAGAAGCTGAACAAAATGTATCTTGAATTACTGTGTCTGACATGCTTTAAAGGATTGCTGCAGGGATCTCCATTAAAATGGCATGACCTTTTGCTGGGATTTTCAAAACAACCTACGGAAGCGAAGAATGCAGCTCCCCCTAGTTTTCAAGAAATGGGTCTACATACAGCATGTGAAGTTAAGCATGTGCATCAGTCTTTGTAGAACTGGGGACTTGAAGGTTTATAGATAGAAAATGTTAAATGTTTAGAGGTTACCAGCTATAAAACTCTGCCTTTCTTTGTCCCTAGTATGTTGCCTCCGGTCTGCTGTTTATCATTTCTATGATTTCCAGATGTTTATACACAGTGTCATGACTTTCAGTGTCTTGCCATCCACCCTTAATTTTTTTCTGCATGTTCTCCATTACCATGCATTCCATTCAGTCACCCTGCTTGACATTCTAGCTTCATGTTCTGCTTGCCTGTATATCTTTTTTTCCATTTTCCCCAGAAAACGTGCACGCCAAGCCCTACCCCATTCTCAGTATTTCCAATATTAAAAATGCAAAATCATGAGTCAAATGCAAAAATATTACATTTTTTAAAAAAGTAATAAGTTTTGGGTGTTTCTTAGTTGGACTACATCTCCCGTGGAGAACCACAGCTATGGTCTTCCCAAGATGCGCCACAGCAGATTACCAAGAAGTGAGATTGTGGCACATCCTGAGAGAAAAGTGCTGGCCAGTGAGCCTGGCCCATATAGGAGAATGGGTACATGAAGCCACAATTACCTTGAACCACAATTCCCATATGGCACCACAATTGCATTTACCAATAAAAGTTTTTGGTTTTCAGATTAAAATTTCCAGGTTTTGAGTTTTTGTCAACATGACAAATTTTCCCATGGAAAATGTCTATGAAAACTTTTTTTAACATTTCCATAAATATTTTTCTTATAGGGCAAACTATTCTCTCACTAGCTCTAGATGGGAGAAAGAGATGGGGGATCAGACACAGAAAAGTGTTGGTGGTGAACCTGCTTAATAAACAGTTGGAGGAGAAGATTCAATAGCACAGAGTCCTAAAAATCCAAGGATGAGAGAGATTAATGAAGGAACAAATCAACTGCCTCAGGTGTTGGCTACATTGGGGAGATGCATCATGTTACAAAACATGTCAGCTACTATGAAGTTAAGCATGATTTTTTCCTTTTTGTGGAAAAGAATGACTATGTTTTAAAAGGTCTTATCTGAATATAGTTAACTATAAATGGAGTTAACTATGATAAGCTGACATTTTTAAAGAGAGCTTGTCATGGTAAGTGTAAAACTATGTTTAACATCATATTGGTTAAAAATGTTAGTGAACATGATTATTATAAGCATTCTCTGAAATGCCATTTACTATAATATCTAGGAATTCTACACACAGTGAAACTTTTTATACTCAACTACAATAAGGATCTTAAATTTTCAGTAAATTGTAAGTGCAAGTCGAAATTCATCTTCTAGTAAAATTTATCCTGTGAAAAGGATACATTCCCTCAAAGGTGATGAAAGATAAGTAGTATCTACTCTTTTAGAAGGCTGAATTAATATCAGTACAACCTCAAACTACAAAAGAATAAGAATTTAAACTCTGTAAATTCATAAAAAGAGAATATCAAAGGTTTTTTTGTAGGAATTTACATAATTATGAATTACTTTCTCCTACTTCTGTCTTGTGTTCTCTTCACCAGTACCGGATTATTTAAGCTTTGTTAGTTAGTATCAAAGGAAAGTACCTTTAAAAAAAAAATCACATGTGGATAAAATGTCATTTGAATCTTGAATGTATTTAACTGAATTATTTTGCTAAGGTTAACAGGACAAAATACCCATTTCTAAACGAATGAGATGAATGTATTGTTGCATTCATGACATATAGGCAATTTTGGAAGTCTGCTGTGATTCTTAAAATGAAAATGCATTTTTGGAATGCGTGATTGTTCCCCTCTGCATTCTCACAGTAACACTGTTAAAAAAAATGTTTAATTTTAGGTTTTGCTGTTTGTTTTCTATCACAGTGTTTTAAACCAAAGTTTTTATTATATTGTTCCCAGAATTAGGGTTTATCTTATACAGCTTACTATTAAGCCTCCAATATTTTATTTCTAATGATGAATTGTGGAGAAACCTCGACAAGGAACAGGATTATAATGCTCGCCTCAGGCAATCTTTTTCATGGCTTTAAAGAGAGAAATAAATTCTCATTGACTATTTATATCCAGATGTTTGGTGTAAGAGAGATACATAGGCTTTGTGTCCATGTAGACAGCAGTGAGGGCATGATGCAAAAATTCAGTGAAGCCACCATGGTAGCAATTGAAGAAATAAAAAGTTATCCCATCGTAAGCATCTGACCGTTTTGCAGTTTTAATTTAAAATAGATGTTAGTAAATGGTGTTTTCTCTCTAACCACTACTAGATGAAACCAGCTTGAAATGGACAAGACCCACGTGTTTCCTCAACAGCCGTCTTTGGATCCAGATGTTTCCTCTCTAACACTGCCATCACTGACTCTGTCTTGATTGTTGTGTTTCCATGGAACAGGCAGGGTGGGAATATTTGTCAGTGATTGTGGCCGAGAAGGTCAGTTTCACATTGCTCCATTCAGTGTTGAAGTAAATGGAAAATTTGTCTGAGTAAGGGTTCCTCTCTTGGCAAAAAGATATAGCAAGAATAAAAACAGGCCATGAAGAGTAATACATTAAAAATATTTTAAATAGTGCAATAATTTGCTATATCAGTGATTAAGCTTTGAACTAGATTAATATAATTAGGTCAGTCAATATATCATCTTACTCCTTCAAGTGTTTCTAGGCTAAAGGCTCAAGATTTCCTTATTCACAGCTCTCTGACAAAATGCCTTTTAACAGCAGCCTCTGCTTTCCCCAACTTCCTGGTTTATGTCAAAGGCACTGAGAGCCTAGGGTCCTTTGCTTTTTCCTTTTAGTTGTAAATCGAAGAGAATTTTTTTTAAAATCCCTGGTTGTAGGAGTACCTTGGTGAGAGAGGTGTTTATTTATGTATTTATTTTTGCTATTTATATATACTGTGTGTTTTATAGGAAAAATTATATAAAACATTGGTAATGTTACAAACTGTACGGCTGACAGTGTCATGTTAAAATGATTTCTGGTCACTGCTGGGGGAGACTGAAGTGATAAAAAGTACAACTGCAAATAGGGGCTATGGCTCTTCTGTGCTATAGCATGGAGTATACAGATCCCATATTGCCTGAGCTGCAAATAATTTAATAGGGAAACTGATTTCTTAGCTGGAGGTGATGAGTGGCCTCATAACAACTGCAGAGATTAAAAAGGCTGCAGGACAGAAGAGCAGAGTGTCTCCAGAGGCTTAGGAGCTACTAAGAGAAGGATCTGTTAGCAACAGACTGGTCAGAAATCATCCAGCAGGATAGACGAACAGAAAGAGAGGATCTCAAAGTATAATTCATAGACTCATGGACTTTAAGGGCAGAAGGGACCATAAAGATCTTCTCCTCTGACCTCCTGCATACTGCAGGCCACAGAACCTTACCCATCCATTCCTGTAATAGACTCATAGATTCTGAGGAACAGCCTGTAAGAGAGGTAGGAAGCAAGTCATAGAAACAGAATGAGGTTGGTGCCCACCATTTCATATAAAATCTCTGGCCTGGAACCCAGAGGAGTGAATGGGCCTGTGTTCCCAACTAAACTGGTTTATTAAGGTTAGAATAAGCAAGTAATACTCCAAGAGGCTGGAGAATATATTCCTTTTATCTAGGATGGCTTTCCTCCTGAAATATTGAACTAATTCCCTAAGAGGGAAAAGGACTATTAATGATCTAAGCAGAAGGCTGAGATCATAATAAAGAACCAAGAGTGGGGCAATGGGTCCATCAAAAAGGAGGGAAACTGAGGCAAATGTTTGATTTTTGCCACAAGAGAGTACTGACGATGGAAAGGGACCATTGACACCAAGATTTAGGCACTTTCCAATGGATTTGTGGTGGTAATATCTTGAAAAAAGCTGACAATGAGCGAAAGCCTTTAGTGTTGTCAATCCACATTAACTCTTAACTGATTTCAGTGGTGCTACACTAATTTAGACTAGCCAAAGATCTAACCTACAAATTACAGTCTCTACAGGCTGTTAAATCTGAAATTCAAGTATGACAACTTATAAATCAGCTCTCTTAACTACAGGTTAAACTTTTAGAATCCGGGACTCTCTGGTCCAGCAATATCCGTGGTCCAGTAGGACTAGATATTGCTGGACCAAAGAGCCCCAGTTGGTCAGGTTCGGGGGCTGGGCTGGGCTGGGCTGGGCTGGTGGTGGGGAGTGGAGTCCCAGCAACATATTCATACATTACCTGGAAAAAGGGATCAACAGTGAGGTGGCAAAATTTGCATATGATACAAAGCAACTCAAGATCGTTATGGCCAAAGCAGACTATGAAGAGCTACAAAGAGATCTCAACTTGATGACATGACAACATAAGGGCAGATGAAAGTCATTGTTGATAAATGCAAAGCAATGCACATTGGAAAACATAAGCCCTAATATACATATAAAAGGATGGAGTCTAAATTAGCTGTTACCCCTCAAAAGAGAGATCTTGGAGTCAAAACACCCACTCAATGTGCAGCGGCAGTCAAAAAAGCATAGAGAATGTTGGGAATCATTAGGAAAGGGATAGATTATGGCAAACAATATAGCCTCTATCTAAATCCATGATACTCACATTGGATACAGATGTAGTCGCCCCTCTCAAAAAAGATGTAGTGGAATTGGAAAAGGTTCTGAAAAAGGCAAAAAAAAATGAGTATAGAAGACTTTCCGTATAAATCCTCAAAAGCTAGGCTTTGCTAAAGATAAGGTTCTTACATTCTCTTATCTCACTTATAATGTGCATTTTAGGTTTGATTGGCTCACCATATGATTGAATTACTTCTTGGTGTTATTGTAAAGTACCATTTAAAATTGGGGCTACATTCTGCTAAACATTGTACAAATAAATAATGATGGATAATATCTGCTGCCTCAAAAGAGTTTACAACAATCTAAACAGACAAGACAGAGGAAAGGAAACAGAAGTGAGCACTTACTCACCATTCAGGAGGAGCCACTGACTTCTACTATGTAGTTTAGAGGATCAACTTTAGAAAGGTTGAGGCTCTCTTGCCTGCATGAAAAATATTTTAACATGCATTTACTTCATCAGCATCTGCAAATCAGGCCATTTACATTCTAGGGTAGTTAGCTGCACTGGTTGTTATGTGCATCCAATTTCAGCTTTTGCATGAAAAAACATAGCTGCACTGCACATGTGTAATTTTAAAATTGTAGTTTTTGCTTAAAAGTCATAAGTGCACCAGTACCTGGGAAAACACACAAAAGCCAGTTCATTGTCTAAAATGTATCAAACACCAAAAATGGAAAAAGTCAAAGGCAACTTTACCTCAACCTATAGTGCATCACATCTTTACTTCAACCAAAATGCAGAGTCATAGGAGTACATTTGTGGATTAGTTCTTGGAACTTTTCATATACAAAATGTTACCATGGCATTTGACAGCACCGCAAAATGATTTCATTTTCACAGAGCTCCAAAGATGACAACTGAATTTGTTCTGGCTCACGGTTATGAAAATACAAATGAACAGCATCCTTGGAAGTGATGACTCTCACTGGTAAATAGGGTTACTAGATGGCTTAAAAAGAAAATACCGGACACACTTAATCTCAGATCGGGGGGACATACCAGATGGGAGGGGAGCAAGGCTGTCCGGGAGGAGGTTGAGGGGATTGGG